CGTTTCTCTCCCATCCAGATGAATTGCTATAAAATTAAAACCGAATCATCCCCAAATGCCAATGTCTGCGGGCTGCTTCTTACTGAGTGTGGTGAAATTCTGGCCCTTGGGACAGCAGTGTCCAGGGCTTTTTCTTTAGAGGCACGTGCTGTAGAGAGCTCAGAAGTAGGCAGTGTCACTCATTTTTTTAACAACCTGGAAGCATTTTTCAAAGAACCTTATAAAACCAAGCAGAGCATTTCATTAGAACCCTAGTGGCCTAGAGCACAGAACAAGAGCTCATCTCCACGACCTCTCAGAACCAACTATATACAATGAAGCAGGATTTCTTTCAGTTCCATTTTTCCTCAAAATGTCCAAAGAACAGCTAAGAGTTGTGCAAGTACGATGCCCACGGTGTTGCTCCACCCTGCACGCGGACGCCATCTGAGCTGCGAGAGCCTGGGGAGACGTCACACACCCTGACGGGGAGGGCAATAAGCTGCTGCTTCTGGAAAGTGCAGGGTGGACTCACCTCTAGCGGCTGCTGGTGGGGGGCAAGGAGGCATAAAACTACCACATGTAACAGAAGGAAGGAAACAGGGCAAGTGCACAAAACCTGCGTGTGAAGCAAAAGCAGGAATCAGAGTTGAACTAGCCTGGAGACCCTTCGCAGGATTTTCTTTTTTTTTTTTTTAAGATTTTATTTATTTATTGATGAGAGAGAGAGAAAGAGAGAGGCAGAGGGAGAAGCAGGCTCCCTGCAGGGAGCCTGATGCGGGACTTGAACCCAGGACCCTGGGGTCATGCCCTGAGCCAAAGGCAGACACTTAACCACTGAGCCACCAGGTGCCCAGGAGGAGGATTTTCAGAGATGTTATCCCAGGGACTCCGTGGCCAGTGCAGAGCTGAGACAGGCAATCTGTTTAGGTGTCCACGTCCCGAGTTCCCACAGTGCTCAGAGCCCCTGGGAGACCCCTCTGTCACTCCTCATGGACACTCAGCTGACCAGGGTGGCCACACTGACAAAGGCCACAGGGCCTGGGAGGGACCCATCTGCTCCAAAAGACCCTTGCTTAGCCTCGTGAAGTGGCTTCTCAGGCAGGCTCCAGCCAAGCTGGGAGGCTTGATGGGGCAGGGGTCCTGAACGGGGCACGTTCAGGGTGTTCAGACACACAGGGCCTTGAGGCAGAAGCTGCCCAGGAGCGCAGGAGTCCTGAGAATGAACAAGCCCACTGAGTCCCCGGGAAAGAATGAGGAAGGGACCCCCACACAGACACATTAGCAAATAGCAAGGATCCAGAATAAGTTGAGAAGGCAGCAGGGGCTCTGAGAGCTTCCAGAGGAAAACTCAGGTCATGGGGCTGCCTCCCCAGGAGGAGAAGTGTTTCTCTGCTCCCCATCCCGCCTCCTGGGAAGTTCCTGAGGGTAAGGGCTGCCAGGGAGTGGAACAAGCCCCTTGCCCCCTTACCTGGGTTCACACCAACCATGTGACTCTCAGAGCTTGTGGGCTGGTGGCCAGGGGACCCGACGTTGGATCAGAAGGCTGCACACCCTGCCCACCACCAGGGGCCTGGTCAACCACGGGGCCTGCACAGAAGCCCGAGGTGCAGGGGTTCAGGAGCCTCGGGCGGGAACACGTGGAGGTGCCGGGAGGGGCAGGGCCTGGAAGCTCGGCGCCCCTTCCCCACCCCCCCATGGATGTCTTTCATCTGCTGTTCCCAAATCGACCCCCTTGATGATGAACCAGAAAACCTAAGTGAGGTGTTCCCCCGAAACCTAAGTGAGCCGTCCCAGCAAATTACAGGTCCAGGAAGGGGTCATGAGAACCCCGACTTACAGCTGGGGGGCCAGCAGCACGGCTGACAGCCTGGACCTGCGGATGGCCTCTGAGGTGGGGGCGGGCTCGTGGGACGGGCCCTCAGCCCGGGGGCCTGCCCTTGAGCCGGGCACACAGTGTCAGGACTGCTTCTGGCCAAAACCCCGCCACACATGTTTGATGCCAGAGTGTACACGGAGACAAACGGATGTGTTTCTGTTTAGGCATCTGGGGAGCAGCAGGGGTCAGGCTGTGTGACGACTTCTCATCCTCAACCCAAAAAGTTCTGAGAAAACCTGCTTTGGTTTTTTTGTTTTGTTTTGTTTTGTTTTTTTTTTAGAAAACCTGCTTTGACTGAGACTAAGACCCAAGCAAATCAGGGCAGCCCGGGTGGCTCAGCGGTTTAGCGCTGCCTTCGGCCCAGGGTGTGACCAGGATCCAGTCCCGTGTCAGGCTCCCTGCATGGAGCCTGCTTCTCCCTCTGCCTGTCTCTGCCTCTCTCTTTCTTTCTGTATCTCTCATAAATAAATAAAATCTTAAAAAAAAAAAAAACCCAAGAAAATCAGTAATTCCCACGGGTGCAAGAAAAACACAGGAAGTTCACCGCCAAATTCTTTCTTGAAAGTTGTTTGGGGATAAATCCCAGCAAAGAGAGAACAAAAGAACACCAGACAGCAACGTGAGACCTGAGGAACAGTGCATACAGCCCGAGAGGATCAGGGTCCTCTTGCGTGGGCCGTCTGTGTCCTGAGCGTCCACACCAAGGGGCTGGGAGTAGGGCACGGGAGGATGGAAGGGAGACATAGTGGAAGAGCATCCCATGGGGACAAAGAGCGACAATGAAGACTAACAGCAAGAAGTCCGGGAAGTTTTCTGAAGCAGGAGCTGCCCCTAGGCGGAGGGTAGCAGCACGCACAGAACCCTGAGCCGGCTGCATGCTCACAGGTGTGCCAACAGGTACACGGATAGCAACGTCTGTTGTAAGAACTCTCTTAACCACGCAGAGGATGAAGCCCAGGGCAGGGCCTCCCCGTGCAGCCTGTGGTGGGGTCGGGAGTCCGCAAGGGCAACTCTAAAATTCAGCATCAAGTGACATGTGGGCAGCCCCCGTTGGCATCATGAAAAACCCTGGGACTTCAGAAACTCTGATGTAGCTCCTGTTACCAGAACGATCTGGACTCTCTAGGCAGAGACCATGGCAGGATGTGTGCCCACTTGCCCAGGGCCATCTCGGCCAGAGAACGTCCTCCCGGGACGATGGGAAACGAGGCCTTCACACAGCAGAAAACACGGAGTCTACCCCAAACAGAGAGAAGCCAGGGAGAAAACGCACGTCTCAAGGCAGGTGGCTCTGCGTTCAGCGCCCTAAGACGTGTGCCTGACCCAGCAGCCAGAACCATCCCAACTTGAACAGGGGATCCCTGCTCCCCCAGAGCCTGAGGCTGCTGTTAGCCCTGCTGGCCAGGGAGGCGCCTGGCTGCTGCCCCCTCAACAGTCCACGCAGACCTCCGGGGCAACCCTGTCTCTGCTGCCTTCTGCCAAGTGACAGCTCACTCAACCACTCAGGACGGCTATTTAAAACTGTAGACGCTCCTGCCATGTATCCAGGAACTATTTTTACAGGGACAGAGGGCGGGGAGGTACCAGGAGAGCCCACACAGGCAACCCCAGGGCCCTGGGTCGCCCCCCTGAGGCAGGACACACAAAAGCCAGCTTGGTCCTCGGCTCAAGGACACTGCCTCTTCCTCGGGGAGGGGAGAGCTTGAGGCACAGCTGAGATGCCCAGCGCCCAGGCCTGTGGAGGCCCACCAGCACTGGGTGGGGAAGGCACCTGCCAGCACCCTCATCCCCCACCCCCGCTGCTCCAGACCTCAGCCCACCCAGCGGGAAGAAGGAAGGGAGACACACTCCACTGGGTATCCTCCTGAAAGGAGGGGGCCCTGCGAGGGGCGCTGGGGGGCAAGCGCAGGGGGGCACCCAGAGCCGGTGAGGGCAGGAGCGTTGGGCAGGGCAAGTGTCCCGGAAGAAGGGGTTTCCGGGTGAGGGTCCCGGGGAGGGACGATGGGGGGGTAGAGTACCAAGGGGGGGTCTAGGGGGATGCGTCCCCTGAGGCCGGCCATCCCCAGGACAAGGGACTCCTTGGGGGGGCGTCCCAGGAAGGCATAGGGGGGAAGAGTCCCAGGAGGGCAGGGGTGAGCGTCCCAGGGGGGCGAGAGTCCCAGGGAGGAGAGTGGGGGAGTGTGTGGGGGGGGGGAGCGTCGGGGGGGGGAGCGCCCCCAGGGGAAGGCGCATCCTGGGGGGCAGCGGCGGGAACATCCCAGGGGAGCGTGGGGGGTAAAGAGTCTCAGGGGGGTGCGGGTGAGCGTCCTAGAGGGGCGGGGCGGGAGGGGGGTGAGAGTCCCAGGGGGAGGGGCGCCCCCAGGAGAAGGCGTGTCCCTGGGGGGTAGGGGGAGGGAGCGTGGGGGGAGGGGAGAGCATGGTGGGGGAGAGGGGAGCATCTGGGGGAGCGTACTGGGGGAGGGGGGAGTGTCGGTGGGAGGGGGAGCGTGGGGGGAGAGCGTCCCAGGGGAGGGGGAAGTGTGGGGGGGAGGGGGAGCGTGGGGGGAGAGCGTCCCGAGGGAGGGGGGAGGCGGAGCGTCAGGGGGAAGCGTCTCGGGGGAGGGGGAGCGTGGGGGGGGAGCATCAGCGTCTCAGGGGGTTGGGGGGAGCGTCTGGGGGAGGGGGGAAGCGTGGAGGGGCAAGCATGCCGGGAGCGTGGGGGGGAGAGGGAGCGTCCGGGGGGCGGCATCCCAGGGGGCGGGGGCAGCGTCCGGGGGGGAGCGTCGCGGGGGGCAGGGTGGAGCATCCCGGGGGAGGGGGTGAGCGTCTCAGGGGGTTAGGGGGAGCGTCGAGGGGGGGGAGCGTCCCGGGGGAGGGGGTGAGCGTTTCAGGGGGTTGGGGGTGAGCGTCGGGGGCGAGGGGCGCCCCCATGGGAAGGCGCGTCCCGGGGGGGAGGGAGCGTCCCGGGGGAGGGGCGCCCCCAGGGCAAGGCGCGTCCGGGGGGGCAGCGTCCCGGCCAGGGGCACGTGGGGCCGCGGGGCGCCGTGGGGCAGGGTGGGTGCGGACGGGAGGCGGGGCGAGGCCGGGAGTCCCGGGGGCGCGTCCCGCGGGGAGACCCTGAGGCGAGGGCAGCAGCGACGGAGCCCCGGGACCCCGGACTCACAGTAAATGAAAGCGAGGGCCCTTAAGAGCACGATCCTGGTCAGCCAGAAAGTGCCCGCCCGGAGGTCGGCCGAGCAGCCCGTGGGGTCGAGCCCCGGCCCCGGCGGAGACCCAGGCCCGCCGCCCGCCTTCCCGGCCTTCCGCTTCCTCAGCGACTCCTCGGGCGCCGCCATTGCGGGGCCACCAGTGCGCATGCGCCCGGAGCGCCCCGCGCCCGGACGCCCCGCCCCGAGCCGGAGCCTGGCCACGCCCCCCGACTGGCCACGCCCCGGGCGGGGAGCGCGTTCTAGTGCGGGCGCGCGCGCGTCCCCCGCAGGCCGCGCGTGGTGCTGCCGCGGGGAGGGCGACTGGTGGTCCTCCCCGGGCTCCCGCTGCCCCGCGCGGGCCTCGGCTCTTCCGTCAACCTGGGCGGCTGCCCGCCTGCGCCCTCCCTCGGGTGGGCCGGGACCGCGATGGGCCCGCTCAGCGTCCGTGTGCGCAGCCGGGAGCCGCGCTCCAGCAGAGGCAGGGCTGGAGCAGAGCCGGCTCAGGGCGCGGCCGGGGTCCCCGGGTGTCCCCTTCCCACGCCCTCACCTCCTGTCCGCGGAGGGTGTCGGGGTGACAGCCACATGGCTAGCCAGGGGCCTGAAATCATCAGCCAGGTCCGTTGGCTTGGGCAGGACTCCCACCCCTCTCCAGACCGCACCTCCAGCCCTGGGGGAGGGTGGTGCATTGAGGGTCCCCAGGAAAGAACTTACCCACCTGTGGCCCCACTGAACCTGGTGACAACATCAGCAACTCCACCCAGGCACCGCTCAGGTCAGGTGGCGCCCAGTGGGTGGGCTCATGGGCACTCCTTAAAGGAAGGCGGTTAGTGGGCAAACTGGTCCTTGGAAGCAAATCATTGAGGTGGGTGTGGGTTTTCTTTTTTATTCTTCACAGCTCTTTACATATTACAGATCCTATTCTTGTGTACATATTGCAAATGTTTGTCCCAGGTGTTTTGTTTGTTTTTGACGTCTTGTGCGGAGTGTTCTGACATCTAAATTATTGATACTTGTGGGTCAAATGATCAGTCTTGTTTAATTATATCTTTACCACCTGCAGCGTGAGCTCTATACAGGCAGGGACTGGCTTTGGACGTGCTCCCCCCCCCCCCCCCGCGATCTAGGCCAGGCCAGCAACTGCTGGAACACTTCTTCAGCCTCCAGCTGTTGGGTGATAGCACTGTGCATCCTATACTGTGAGTTTTTAAAAAGTGCCCCCCTCTTTTTTTTTGTGAAAACTCTCCTTTCAGAGCCCAGCTGTAAAGTGGGACATGTAAAAGATCGGCAGTGGGGGGGCACAGACATTGCACCCTGGTGAGCTCCAGCAGGGAAGCCTATGCCCGAGGCCTCCCCGCGGGGGGGGGGGCTGTCAGGGGACAGTCCGTCCTGGCCATGCTTCCAGGTCCTTCCAGCAAACCTACATTCTGCACCTCGTCTCCAGGGCCCGGGGCCTGCATTAGGGATGAGCCAGCACGGCTGTCTGGTCCAAGCGGAGGATCCAGTGCCCCTCAGCCCAAGCCCACCAGAGCTTCTGTGCGTCCCCTGGATGCAGGAGGTGCTCAGGGCACGGAAGGACAGCTCCGCCATCAGGTGTGACCCAGGGCGCTGCTTTTCAGGTGGGGACGGTCCTGACAAAGAGCCCTTTGTCCTCAGCTTCCCCTGGCCCCGGTTGCATTGTTCTCCCCAGAGGAGGGCACAATGGGGCATTGTGCAGAGCAGAAAGGCGTCCTTGTCCAGCATCCAGCTCGCTGGGCTCCAGGCTCCCTCTCCGGGTTTACCCAGGGTGGGCGAGGCCATCAGAGAGGTCCGCTGGGAGCTCGGGTTCTTACACTTCCTCCGGGACCCGCCTTCCTGGGAGTGGACTGCAGAGGTCCGGTGAGTCCAAGGGTCCAGAACCCACCCATGTGGGAGCGGACCTCGCGGAGTGGGGCTTGGGCCGAGGAAAGCCTGGCCAGCGGCTCGGCGCTTGCCTATGTGCACCCAAATTGAACCAGAAGCACACGGGTCTGTAACTCAGCAGTAAGGAGGAGTGAGGTGTTGACACCTGTTACAAGATAGAGGAACCTCACAAACATCATGCAAAGTGGGAGAACCAGACGCATGGGCCACACGTTGGATTCCGTGTACATGACACGTTCCGGATCAGCAAATCCGCGGAGACAGAAAGGAGATGGGTGGTTGTCTAGGGCTGGGGGCGGGGAGTGACGGGAAGATTCCGGAGGCAGGCAGAGGGGACGGCTGCACACCAGCAATGCACTAAATGCTACAGAACTGTACACTTCAAAACGCTTGAATGTTATGCCATGTGAATTCCGTTTCAAAAAAAAAAGAAGAAAAATCTTAAAAATACCCTACGTTGTTCCAGAACGTCCTAGAAGGCACTGTTTTTCCCTGTTGGAATAGGTCACGTCATTTACACCAAACCTACCTCTTCATCTAGATGAGGGAGCATCTAAGAGCTTTGACTAATATTTAGATTCGGGGACATCTTATACTACAAGAAAGCACTGCACTTAAAAACAAAACCTTTTTTGTAAACCTTGAGGCAACTGCAGGGGTGGAGGCTGGTGCAGGGAGGCAGCTCGCTGGCTTCCTCACCCTGTGGGCTCAGTGGCTGCAAACCGCAGGTACACAGGGGTCGGGGGGGCCTTTACCCCCCCACACACACTGGGAGCCTGGGTGGGTGGCGGGGCTCCTGAGCCCACATTTTCAAGCCAAACTCTGAGAAAAAGTCAAGCTGGTTACGGAGGGGTTGGTGCCCAGCCCCGGCCTGGACGGAGCCAGGAGGACGAGCCCAGAATTTGACTAGAGAGAGAGAGAGGATCCCCCAGAGGACCCGTCAGCTCAAGCCTGGGGCTGGCATCCCACAGACCTGTGGACAAGCCAGAGCCCCAAGCAGGGAGCCCAGGCCGGGGCTCCCATGCACGGCTCTTCTGACACAGCCCGGGCGGAGGCACACACAGGCCCGGGGGCTGGCGGGACTCCCAGCAGCTGCGGGACGGCTTCATGGAGGAATGAGCCCCCTGTCGGCACCTCGTCCAGCTGTCCCCAGGCACCCTGGCTTGCAGCCCCGGCATCAGGGCAAGTGTCCCTGACGGGCATTTGCAGCTGTCTCTGGCACCCACGAGAACCCAGCTTGGGCCCAACCTAATCGCCCACCCTTCATTTACCCCAATTTTTCATGTCTTGACATCTGTTGATGGGGGAGGTGGGGCAGAACCCACGGGCGCTAACATCTGTCACTTTCTTCTGGGGCGGCGGGGGGTGGTCACTTTGGGCTGGTCCCACCGTGACTGTCCAGTGGCCAAGACCCGGGTAGGGCTGGCAGGAGCAGGTGGGGGTGGCCGAGCAGGTGCTGGGCCATTTGCTGGTTTTTGGGAACTGTGACTCACGGACGGCTGTTCTGCTTGGCTCACCCGTCTCCTCTCTTGGCACCCTCAGCTCCGGACCACGAGCACTTCCACGCCCGCACCCCAGAGGGAGACGTGGCTCTGTGTGGCGCTGCGAGCTGGTGAGCCGCCCTTGCAGGGCAGGGAAAGCAGACAGTCATGGTGCTGGTACATTCTGTGGCCGACGGGCCCGATGCGGGGAGACAATGTGCAGGGACTTTGTTTTAAAAATCTGGGAGTCAGATTCTGTCCTGGAAACTGCCCAGGCCAGGGGCTGCACACAGAGGCCCGCAGGCTGTGTCTACCAGTCACCTCGATGATGCTGTGTAACAAACAACCTTGAAACCGAAGGTCCGGGTCGGCGCACACTGGCACCCACAGAGCGGGGCTCGGGCGTGCATCTCGGGCCAGCGGAGGTCTGGGGGCAGCAAGACGCTGGCTGGCAGTTGGGACCACGGGGGCCTCTGTCCCACCTCCCGCAGGTGCCAGCACTCCTTCCAGCCTCGCCCACGGGAGCTTCCACACTCCCCTCCTGACCAGGCCCCAGAAGGCGCCTGCATCCAACATCCCTGATTTGGCCCAAACTGCTTATCTCACAGGCCAGGGAGCTTGCGGTCAACACCATCCATTACTGTGTCTCACCTTCTTGTGACTCCCGCCCAGTGATTAAAGCAGACAATTCACTTCTGAAAAGAACGGGTGGCACTCGTGTTAGATGACGTCCCTGAGGAGGGAGCTAGGCTCCGGCAGTGGGCAGAGGTGCTTCTGGAAGTTGCTGGCGTGGACTGAGGAGAAGCCCAAACAGAGGAACATCAGGAGCTGGCTACCGCACGCCCATCGGCCCCCACGGGCCCCGCGCTGAGCCCACAGCTCAGACACGCACCGTGGACCCCTCCACAACTCACCCGAAGTCAAAGGGCCACAGGGGGCCGTCGGCATCAAGTCCCGTGACCTCGAACACCCTCCCTCCCGGAACTCCGCACCTTCTCGGGGGTCCCTCCAACCCCTTTCCACGCCCTGGGGAAACCAGCCCGAGGCCCCTCTTTTCAGGCTTCACTAGAAGGCTCAGCCCCTTGAAGGTATGCAGCCAGGGGAGCCCCTGACCCCAGCCCGGTCGGGGAGGGGCGAAGCTCCACCACGCCTGCTCCCAGCCGGCCCCACGGACTCCCAGGAACCACCAGCTTCTTTCCACTCAGCACAAGGCTCCCGCCTCAGGGTGTCTTAATTAAACCCTCCTTCACCAAGTTCCGAAAAATAAATACTTGGGAGACAGCGGGAAATCTTTTGACAGGGTGTGTTTTAATTTGCCTTTGGCACGGGCACGTCTCTGGAACCTTCCCTGGTGGCAGAGCCAGCCAGGGCCCCTCACTCCGAAAGAGGATTTTTTTTTTTTGTCTGATATTTTTATTTCAGGCTAGCATTTGCCTTTCTCCGTCATAACTGATGCGGGGCTCTGCTTCCGAGGGGTTCCCACTTGGACATCTTGAAGAGGAAGCCTCATTAAATCTGAAAGTTAAGTTTGGAAGGACAAGCACAGCCTACTTGGGCTTAAAGGCTGGTTTTCTGGAGTGACAGTCATCCTCCAGCATCCTGGCTCCCCTTCTGCACGGGGCCTGTGCACGGGGGGTGGGGCGGGGGGGACCGAGGTGACGGTGAAGGGCAGGGGCCCTGGGGACTGGGGGCCAGGGGGCAGGAGCCCAGAGTGCAAAATGAGGGTGGGGTCTGGGGCCCGGGGACCCAGGGGCCCGGTACCACAGAATGCCCGTCTGCTTGGGCAAGGAATGGAATGTGCTGGCTTAGGGGGTGCAAGCGTCCAGAGGAAGGCACGGGCAGATGGCACGTCTCTAACACCTCGACAGACTTGGTTTCCCCCATGGATGATGCTGCTGGCGCCTGGTGCTCACCTCTGCCCAAGGAAGACCGCATTTGGAGCCCCTGGGACCCCGCCTGAGGATGGTCATGGGCTATAGAAGCAGCCTCTGCCTGCCGTCGAAGACCCACACCAAGACCCGAATGTCGCGGGTGGAGCCAGCCCCCCAGGCCCAGGCCGGGGAGAGGACAGATGGATGGGCACAGCCGGAGGCCGGGGGGATCTCTACTGTCAGGAGGTGAGCGGAGGCCAGAGCAGGCCCACAGCTGTTCCTGACACATCTGCGTAGCACATGTCACTGGGCAGACAACCTTCACTGGGGCTCAGCCCTCCATGAAGCATTGCCCTCTCCCACAATTTTTTTCAAATAATGGCCACTGGGGCAGGGGGTCCCCCTGGGCTGCCAGCGGTCACCCTGGGGCTGTGTGGGTTTTCACATCGGGAGCCGGCAAGAAGGGGCAGAGGAAGAGCCTGGGGCACCTTCACCCCTGCCTGGAGCTTGGGAGGCGCCCCGAAGCGGCAGCGAACGTCACGCTGGAGCGAGGTGCTCAGGACCAGCACCCCGACGGGCCGGCCAGGGGCAGACGGGGGAGGCTGGGTGCGATCCTCCTCCCGGGCTCCCCCGCACGCACAGACGGCCGGCTCCCTGGCGGACATCAGCCCAGCTGGGCGGAGGGCTTCGACCCGAACCAGAACTTCCACGCCAGCTGGCAAACTAAGTCGGGGAGGGGTGTTTCCACAAAAAGCTTGGCTCCGAGCCCCGACAGTCTGTCACCAAGGGACGCTGGACTCCTGGCGCCCCTGCGAGCCCCTCGCCTCTCTCTCGGGAGACCCAGCGGGGCAGGCTGGGGCGGTCCTGACCGAGCCGCTGCTCAGAGCTGATTGCTCATCTCTGGCCTGGACATTTGGTTTCTGCGGACCAGCCAGTAATTGAAAGCGCCAATTAATCTCTGAGACTGAGCGGGGCTTCCCAGGACGTGACGCCAACTGCCCGGGGCTGGCTCGCTGAGGCCCAGGTAACGGCTGCAGACACACAGGGGACAGGCCGCCGCAGGCCTTCCTCTGAGGGACTGCACGGACTATGGCCTCCCGGGCTGCCCGGGCTGAGGGCTGGGCGGAGGGTGGGCGGAAACACGGGCAGGGTGACGCAGGGGTGACCGCAGGGTGCCTTCGTCCGTGGTGGCTTTTGCAGCCCTTCCTCCCCCTTCGGCTCCTCCAGTGCCCGACACACACACGCACACGGGCTTCCTGAGCTTCCCTGGAAGCCATGTGCTGGGAGCCTTGGGGGTCTCCTGGCGAATGTCCCCCTGGAGCCCTCGGGCCTGCACTGGCCAGGGCTCGTAGGCACGGGCGTTGCCAGGCTGTATTTCTGTCTTGACAGGTGCCCTTGCAGCCTCGGCTGGGGGTGTAGGTCTAGAATCCTCATTACACCCCAGGGGCAGGGATACGGTCCACCCACGGCCCACGAGGTCACCTCCCTGAGACCGCAAAGGCCACTAGGTGAAGGTAAGGTCATGTGGACTGGAGCTGCTGGGGGCCGGAAGGAAGAGCTAAGGAGGGGATGGATGCCAAGAGGTGGTCGAGAGGAGGTTCAAACAGCTGTCCATCAAGTTTTATTTATTTATTATTTTTTTTAGTTTTTTTTGTCCCTCAAGTTTTAAATCACAGTAGTGTCACTCTCAGATAACCTGTGCTTGCTGCTGCCTCAGGGCCTTTGCGCAGTTTGAGCACCTCCCTACCCCCTCAGTTGAGGGAATGGCCTTTCCTCTTTCTTCAAGCAGCTGGAAGCTTCAGGTCTCAGCTTAATTTCACCTCCTCAGAACCCCCTTCCTGGACACCACCCCCACCCCCACCCTCCCGCCATGGTGCCTCAGCTCCTTGGTGTTTGCCCACTGAAGCCCTCGGCACAGATGCTTTGTCAATACTGGTGGACACAGGAACCAACCGCAGCCACCCCTTCCTCTGAAGGCTACACCCCAGTACCCACTCAGGGCCTGCCCGGCAGCTGAGGACGTGAACCGGGCTCGCCACTAGTGGAGGATGAGGCTGGATGGCACATGGGCCAGGACACAGGGCTTCCAGAAGCCCAGGAGGCTTTGGGGCACTTCGGGGTGCCACCCCACGTGTCTGCTGCCTGCCCTGGGCTAGTGAGCTGTGCCCGGATGCTGCCCTGTGGGGAAGCGCATACATATGCCCTCAGCCAGCCTGGGCCGAGGCCTGGCGGGATCTGCCCTCCCCACCCCTTCCGTGGGAGTTACAGGCTGCACACACGTGTGTGCACTGTCCACCAGCACCCGTCCCCCTCCCCAGGGGGGGCCTAGGACCAGATCCGGCCGATTTCCCTCCAAGGGTCCCGGTAGTCACCTATCCCTGACCCTCTGCGGGCCGGTGGGGAGCACAGAGAGGGTGCCTTACCTGACGTCCCAGTGCAGCTTCGCAAAGCAGAGCTCCTCGTGAAAACCCAGACAGCCTGCTGGGTGCAGGGAGGAGTGGGACCTGTTTTCTGGTGGGTGGGGGAGGACAGTTTCTGGTGGGTGGGGGAGGACAGTGGTTGGTCTGCCAACCTCAACCCTCCCCCTGCTTGCACTTGCACGGGTCCCCATGGGCCAGTAAGATCGATGGGTGCCCTCAGGCAACCCCCCACTTGGGCCCTCCCTCGGAGTCCCCAACTGCACAGCGGGGACCCCCAGTGGAGGGCAGGACCTCCAGGGGCAGCCACCACAGACCAGCAGCTGAGGGCGTTCCCTGGCAGGCGACAGAGCAAAGGGAGGCCAACCACAGGACAGGACGCCAGAACAGAAGCCACTCCCGGAGGACGCACCTCTGCCATCAGGTGCACACCCCACGCCAACCCTGGGCTGTTTACCTTAGACAACGACACCCTCAGTGCCACTTTCCCGTAAGCAGAATATCAGGTTCTGTGATGTGGGGCAGGGCCTCGGAATCACCTGCAGGTGACAGGTAGTGTGGGTTAACCCCCTCTTAGGCCCTGAGATGCCCCCACAGGGGTGCACACATGTTTCAGAGGCAAGGCTGCAGGATCCCTGGGCGGCCCCTGAGCCCAGGGGCAGGCTCCTGCCCTAGACCTGCAGTGGGACCGACAGGCCACCGAGGCCCAAGTGCGAACTGAACCCACAACCCAGGCACTGGTGGGGGGGCAGGGGTGCGTGAGGGTGAAAGTGCAGGGGCAGGGGCACGTGAGGGGGGCAGAGGGGGCCTGGGGGGGGCAGGAGGCCTCTCCTGGGCAGTCCCAGCATCCGTGGTGGCCTCTGGGTTGGTAAACCAGCAGCAGGGAGACGCTTGGACCCGGCGCATCGACTTTCAATCTGGTCTCCTGGTAGCTGACCAGCCCTCCTGCCGCACCCCTGCGCCTGCACCCCTGCGCCTCGGCGGCCCCTGGCCCAGGCGCCTCTGCCTGAGGAGGGCGCGGTAGGGAACTGGGTGCGGGGGCCACAGCTCGCAGCCGCAGGAGTTCCCACTCGGCCACCCCAGGGCCTGCGGTGAAGCTCTGTGCGGCTGGTCCGTCGCCTCCGGGCGGGTTTGGCCCAAGAATCCGAGCCGCCCTCGGGGACCGCGGGGACGCAGGCCAAGTCGCGGGGGCGGCTTCGGGCGGGGACTCGGAGCGGCGGCCAGCGCTGACCTCCAGGGGAACGTCCCCTCTGCGACCCCGCCGATCTGCTCCGCGCCAGGCCGCACAGCCCCCCACCCACGCCGCGCCCCCTCCTCCAGGGAGGTGCCCGGGACGCACAGCCCCCCCTCACGCCGCGCCCCCTCCTCCAGGGAGGCGCCCGGGACGCCCCGCCTCCCCGCGCGCCCCTCCTCCCCGCCCCCCCCGCGCCCTCCTCGCGCGGCCAGCTCCCCCGCCGGACCACCCGGGGCCGTCCCGCCGCGCGGCCTCAGCGCCCCCTCTCCGGGGTCAGGCCCAGAAGGTCCCGGGCCTCCGCGTCCGGCCGCGCCATCCGCCGGGCGGCCCCAGGGACTTGCAGCGAGGCTCAGCCCGGTGCTGCCCCGCGCTCCCGTCCCCTCCGCGGCTCCTGCGGCCGCCGCCCGGCCCGCGCCTTCCCGGCTCGGAGCCGCCCCGGGCTGGGGGCCGCGGCCGCGCTTTACCTGGACGAGCGCGGCGCGCGGGCTCGGGGCGCCCCGGAGGGTCCCGCAGCGGCAGGCGGGCTGGGGGCGCGCGGCGGGGCGGCTCCGGGGGACGCGGCTGTGCGCGGCGCGGGCCGGTGGGGCCGGTGGGGCCGGTGGGGCCGGTGGGGCCGGTGGGGCCGGGCCACCGGGCCGAGCGCCGCGACCCCCCTCCCGGCCCTGGGCGAGCGGCGGCCCCGCGTGGGGCGGCGCGGGGCGGGGCGCGCGGCCGGGCTCCACCCCCGGGGGCCGCGGGGCGCGCGCGGGCCAATGGGGAGCCGCGCGGGGGGCGGAGCCCGGGGGCCGCCGCTTAAAGAAACTTGTTGCGGGGCTCGGCGGGGCCGGAGCGGCTGGGCCGGGGCGGCGGCGCGGCCTGGGTGCGGAGCGGCCGCGGAGCAGCGGGTCCCGGAGCGCGCCCGTCCGCGCGGCCCCGATGCTGGACATGAGCGAGGCCCGCGCGCAGCCGCCCTGCAGCCCGTCGGGCACCGCGAGCTCCATGTCGCACGTGGAGGACTCGGACTCGGACGCGCCGCCGTCGCCCGCGGGCTCGGAGGGCCTGGGCCGCGCGGGGGGCGCGGGGGGCGCGGGGGGCGGCGGCCGGGGCGACGCGGCGGAGGCGGCGGACGAGCGCTTCCCCGCCTGCATCCGCGACGCCGTGTCGCAGGTGCTCAAGGGCTACGACTGGAGCCTGGTGCCCATGCCGGTGCGCGGCGGCGGCGGCGGGGCGCTCAAGGCCAAGCCGCACGTGAAGCGGCCCATGAACGCCTTCATGGTGTGGGCGCAGGCGGCGCGCCGCAAGCTGGCGGACCAGTACCCGCACCTGCACAACGCCGAGCTCAGCAAGACGCTGGGCAAGCTGTGGCGGTGAGTGGCGGCCTGGACCCGGGCCCGGGCCCGGACCGGGCGGGCGGGCTGCGGGGGGCGGTCCCAGGGTGGGGGGCGCGCCGGCCTCGGCCCTGGGCAAACCCGGCCCGACCCGGGACGCCCACTGCGCCCGGGCGCTCGGGGACTGCAGGGCCAGCACGCAACCCGCAGCGCGCCCCCGCGCCCGCTGAGACTGGGGACCCCCCCTGTGAGCGCCCTGGGGCCTGTCCCTCACCCAGGAAAGCCGGCTTCTGCCTGGAAGCGGGACCCCGTACCAGGCGATGCTGTCTGGAGGCGCCCGTCTGGAAAGGGCTCCCCTCCACTCCCTAACCAGCCTGTGGGGGAAGTCAACACAATGGAGGGGGTGCATGTCCGTTCAGCTGCCTCGCTCCCCCACTCCGCGCCTCTGCACCCCTCTGCAAGGACGGCCGAGGGATGCGGGATGGGGCCAGCACAGGCACGCTTTGTGCACACTCGTGCCCGGCGAAGCTGGACGATTTTGTAGAAAGTAGGGCAGCAGTAGTGTCACTGGCTGATCAGCACGGCCCATCCCCACCCAACATGTTCTACTTGGGTTTAAGATGGGCGGCTGTGGATTTGGGGCGCTGGTCCCCATTTCCTACTCCTCTCTCCGTGAGTGGACACTGGGAGTTTGCACTTCTGTTCTCTGGGTCCGTATCTCTGGGTGCTCCGCGTAGGCAGACCCTGGCATCCCCGCACCCCGTCCCACGGGCAGTTGGGGGTGAGTTTCTGGAGGGTTTGAGAGGCCGGCGTGTGTTCTGAGCCTCAGCAAGGAGCACGCTGGTGTTGCCTGTGTTCCTGGAGGTCTGGGCAGTTCAGTTGCCCACGGAATCCCTTTCCCAGGAAGCGTTGCTTTGTCCACAGCATGTTCTCCGCTGGGTTCGGCCTCCTCCCCCGCCCGCTCAGAAAGCCCCAAAGGGAGGAGACTTACACAGGCTCCGGGCGAAGGGAAGTAAGAGGGTGATGGAGATGGAAAGGTTTGGGTCTTATTCTAGCATGTTCCTTTGACCCACACGAGAACAGGGCTCACCAGAAGTCCTTGCTGGCCTGGCGCCTGCTGCCGCCCCCCCCACCCCCGTGTCCACAGAGAGGGGAGTGCGTGCCTGGTGTGGAGCACACGCAGGCCTCCCTGTGAGTGCCAGGGTCGGGGAGGGCTTCCCCAGGCTTGGGGCCCTGGCCAGCCCACTTGTGCCTTTACTGCTGCAGCTTGCTGAGCGAGAGCGAGAAGCGCCCCTTCGTGGAGGAGGCGGAGCGGCTGCGCGTCCAGCACAAGAAAGACCACCCGGATTACAAGTACCAGCCGCGCCGCAGGAAGAGCGTGAAGACGGGCCAGGGCGACTCTGACTCTGGGGCCGAACTGGGCCCCCACCCTGGCAGTGCCGTGTACAAGGCCGACGCGGGCCTCGGGGAGCCACACCACCACGGCGACCACGCAGGTGGGCTCCTGGGGCCCCACAGCCTTCGGTGCCCCAGCAGGGGAAGGGGGGTTCCGGCGTCCGTCCATCGGGATGGAGGGTGGGGGTGGGGAGCAGGGGCTCACTCCCAGGGCAGCCAGCTTGGAGACAACCAGATGTTCTCGTGTGCCCCCAAGTCCCCAGTGCACACAGCGGGGTGGGGCGGGGGTGGGGGTGTACTCAGAGCCCCCTGAGCACCGGGGGTGTCCCAGCTCTGCAGTGATCGGTGCCGCCGTGCGCCGTGGGCGTGTGCTGCTGCCTGAAGGCGTTTCTGTGGATGCCGAGCCAGCACTCCCACCCCTGGCGCGGTGGTCGGCAGCCCAGCCTTAGGATCAGACGGTCGGGGGAGAGCCCGGGCCAGCCCAGCAGTCTCGGTCATGCTGGCGAAAGCTGTGAGCCTGGGTTGGGGGGGGGGGGATCCGTTTTGTGAGGATCTCGTTGTGGCCGTGTGCGGGGGTGCTGGGCACTTCCTCTCCTTCCCCCCACCTGGGTGTTCACGGTGGGGCCTCCACGGCCCCAGCTCTTCCTGTACAACAGCGCTTAACGGAATTTCCTCGGCCAAGGAGTGAGGTCTGGGTCTGGCTCTGCTGGAATTTCTGGGAAACAAAAAGCCGTTGATTGGTACCTGCGGCAGTTAGTGGGCTGGTTTCCCTCCTGGGTGCGCGCCGCCAGCCAGGCCGGCCCCCCACAGAAGGGGCATTCATCCCTGAGATGTGCTCTGTACCTAGGGCAGACCCACGGGCCACCCACCCCGCCCACCACCCCCAAGACGGACCTACACCACGGGGGCAAGCCGGAGCTGAAGCTGGAAGGCCGCCGCCTGGCGGACAGCGGGCGCCAGAACATCGATTTCAGCAACGTGGACATCTCGGAGCTGAGCAGCGAGGTCATCGGCAACATGGACACCTTCGACGTGCACGAGTTCGACCAGTACCTGCCCCTCAATGGCCACTCGGCTCTGCCCACAGAGCCGGGCCAGCCCGCCGCCGGCTCCTACGGGGCTGCCTCCTACTCGCACTCGGCAGCGGCCGGCATCGGGGCGTCCCCCGTGTGGGCCCACAAGGGAGCCCCCTCGGCCTCGGCGTCGCCCACCGAGGCGGGGCCCCCGCGGCCACACATCAAGACGGAGCAGCTGAGCCCCAGCCACTACGGCGACCAGTCGCACAGTTCCCCAGGCCGGGCCGACTACGGCTCCTACAGTGGCCAGGCCAGCGTCACCACGGCCGCCCCTGCCGCGGCCGCCACCTCCTTCACCAGCTCGCAGTGTGACTACACCGACCTGCAGGCCCCCAGCTACTACAGCCCGTACCCCGGCTGCCCGTCCAGCCTCTACCAGTGCCCCTACTTCCACCCTTCGCGGCGGCCCTACGCCTCGCCCCTGCTCGGCGGCCTCTCGGTGCCACCTGCCCACAGCCCGCCTGGCAACTGGGACCAGCCCGTGTACACGACACTGACCAGGCCCTGAGGGCACCGCAATCCAGGGAGGGGACCGGCGTAGCAGACTCGGGGATGGAGAACCTTTATCTCAGCAAAGACAGAGCCTCGGGTCTTCCAGAAGGGGTGTGTGTGCTCGCTCACGACGGGACAGGAGGTGGTGGCTCTGGCAGGTGCCTGGTCACATGTGCAGAGGGAGCCACACTTTGTGACTGAGGCCACGCGGCTTCCAGATCTTTGGCGACAAAGCTCTCCCACACTCTCTTTGCGGTGACTGGCGACTCTGGAACCGGGGACGGCGGCCACGGTGTCGCGTGGAGTCCTCTTCCCCACGGACACCAATGCCTCGGTTTTGCATATCAGTAGACACAAAGCAGCCACAGCATAAAACAGAAAGGAGGGAAGAGGTGTGGGGTCTCGGCCGCCTGTGTTCCAAGGTCCCTGCCAGCCTCGCGGGGAGCTCCCAGGACACGGGAACCGGTGGGCAGTGCAGGGCAGCCACAGCCTGGCGGAGCGCTTGGGTCCAGTCCAGCAGATCTCAGGTGCCCCTGCAGTTAGGCTCTTCCTAAGCGAGGTTTGGCTGCAACTAACACTTCTCTCTTCTTATTTTATTTTTTTAGTTTTTATTTTTTGAAGCTTAAAACACGTTCGATTCGTTCCGGAAGCTGTTGAAATGTATTTATGTTCTGTATTATTTTATCTTTAATTAATGATTTGTGCAGAGAGTAGACTTTAAGACTGAAAGGAGGCCAGGACCCCGAGGGAGGGAGGGAGGGAGGCAGGGAGGCGAGGCCGGCTGCTGCGTCCTCTGTCTCTGTCTCTGGCCTGGCCACAGCATCAAGGCAGGTTTAGCAGGCGGGGGCATCGCCGAGGTCGCTCCCTGCCTACCACCGTGCCCGTAGTGGACGGGGTGGCTGGAGAAGCATGTGACTCTCGGCCCTTAGGAACCAGACGCCACCTCCAAGCTGTGAAAGTAAAACCTCCACTAAAGCGTTTAGAGTCTTAGTTTTAGGCGAATAACCCCTGATTGACGCGTTTGCTTCTGCTGTGTGCCAAGCACTGATAACCCCTACTTCATGGAAACTTGTGCCTTTACACTTTGTACATTTAAAGACACCTGAGAAGTTGCTTCTTTTTACTTTTTCTACTTTTTCCTACCTTTTTCTAGAAAAAAAAAAGGAATTTTTTTTTTTTTTTTTTTGCGTATCTCTTTCTGGGGGTGGGGGCAGCAAACTCATTTTTATGCAAAATCTGTTGTCCTGCGCCTGCGTGGAGTTTGGGCTTCCGCTGTCACTTACCCGCTCTGTTCCACGACTTTCTGACCAAGCAATGCTAACTTTTGTACAGACCAATTTGATAAAATTAAAAGAAAAAAAAAAAGCTTTTTATCTACGTGGGCTGTGTTTCGCGTGTTGCTTTCAGTACACGCCTGGGCTTTGGCTCGGAAGGACCTCGGCCGCGGCAGGCGTGGGGCTCACCCCGGGCCCATCTCAGAGCCCCTGAGAGGGCAGACGTGGTGCCCCAGCCCTGGGGCACTGCCAATGCCCCCCCCCGCCCCCCAGGGGCCGTGTCTGGATTTGAACAAATCTCAGAGGCCCCAGGACGCCGCTGGCCCAGCCGCCAGAATCTTCCTTCCCCCGGGGGCCTATTCAGTAGGCAAAACGGGTCCAGATCCCGGGCCGCGGTTTCCTCCCAGGAGAATCCCGGAGCTGGTTTCTGGGTGGCTGACGGCATTTTTCGGGCGCTGGCACGGAGCCAGGCTGGGAGCTGGGTGAAAGCCACCCTGCAGGCACCAGGCGGGGTTGTCTGGTTGGTGGACTGTTTCTAGGGAGAAGAGGCTGTGGGAGCTGCGGCAGGCACCAGCCTCACCCCCCGGCGGACCTCCCCGGCACACGCAGCTGGTTCAGGAGCCTTGCCAGGCTGGGTGCACCCGCCGGGGCCTGGGGATGCATCTAGGGCCTCTGCGCCTGTGGCTGGGAGGAGGGGAGGAGGAGCACCGCGCTTCTCACGAGAACCCAGATCCTCAAAGCAACTGCCTCTGCGATTCTAATGGGGTGGCCCGGGCAGGGGGGCGCCCGCCCCATCCGCTTGTCTGCCAGCCGCCTGTGTGGCTGTAATCCAGGGCGCGTACCTCACCCCGTGCTGGAGAGCCACGTCCAGGGCCTGCCAAGAGCAGTGTTTGGGAAGAGCTGCCTGGATTTACGAGGGTTCGTGAGGTCCAGGGCGTGCCAAGCCTCCCGGGCGAGGCGGGGTCTGGGAGGGGACTGCCAGCCAGGCCCACGGATGCCTGCGTGGAGCCCGTCCAGCGTGCCCCGCATCCAGCCAAGGGCTGTCCAGCTCCATATGGCCCTCCAGGCTCTCACGCTGACACCCCAACCCCAGGAAACCCCCTGCACCCGGCTCCCTGACGCAGGGAGCGGGCTGCCCCTGTGCGGCCCCAGCACCGGCCGGGGCCCTGCCAGGCTCCCCAGGGCTGCAGGCTCTGCCAGTTTTGTTTGCACTTGGAGGGGCTCCTGCGTGTTAACTCCCGGGGGCCCGGCCACCCCTCCCGCCGACCCGGCTGGCCCTGGCCCGGCCACGCCGCGTGTGGGTCTCCTCCACCAGAGCTCACGGGGCTTCCAGGAGAGCAAGGACGGCCGCCCTTTCTGGCGAGGCAGTGCCCGTGCCCGGGCCAAGGCCGCGGAGCCTCAGTGCCCTCACCCCGCTCTCCGGGGCCAGGCTGCTGGCCTCCCAGTCAGAACATTCCCAGGCACTGGAGGCTGAGCCCACGGCCACGGGCCCTGCGAGTCCTGGGCCTCCGCTTCCCAAGGCCCAGGTCCCCAGTGACGCTGTGAGGAGGGTCCAGGGTGCACCCCCCAGGGGGCAGGGCAGCTGGAAGGGGTCCCTGGTCCTCAGGCTTGTGAGGGTTTTTCCAGTGAGGTCCCAGCAGACAACATTATTCACAGGGCTGGCCTCGCCCCACCTTGCCCAAGTCCAAGGGGGCGGCTGCCCAAGCGCATCCGGAGCTCCATTCTCGCCGAGAGCATTCCACGGGCCCATCCTGGGGACGCGCTGCTGGGAAGAGTTCCTCATTTTTCATTTCCTTCCCCAGAGCACGGTGCACTGCCTGTGATCTCAGCTGAACAGAGCACCCTATTCAGAGACAAAGGGGAAACAGTGTTTATAGCCCCGACCTGCCGGGGTAGATTGGGAAAGCCCCTCTGGCGCTGCGCACAACCGCCCTTCCTGGGACGATATCAGCTTTCAGGAGTGGATCCTGTGCTGGGGTGTGGGTCCCCGGCTGGGGTGGCTGTGAGCTTGGGGAGGGCCCGCGTGCTCTGAGCAGCTGCCTGGGAGGGGCCCCCGGCCCGCTCAGCGGCCTGTCCCGGGGCAGGCTCCATGGCCACCCAGCCAGCTGTGGGGGACGGCACCCGGCGCAGGTGTTGCAGACTCGGGGATGTGGCCCGCTGCACGGACTCCAGTGTTTCCTCCCCGCTGTCTGGCCCTGGGCCTCCAGGCCGGCCCTGGACAGAGGACCTTCACGGACTCAGCTCCAGCTCACCAGGTCCTCCAGGGCCAAGGGCTGGACCTCGGGGCTGGTAACGTGTCTGTGGGTGGTGACTGACCACCACCGGATGCTAGACGTGTGCTCCCCACCCAGGGTGGACGGCCTGCCTACGACATGTTCACCAGGCTTCAAGGAAAACCTGTGCTGACCGGAGCCCCGTCTCAGAGCCAGGGAGCCAGGGGTGGGGGATCCCCCCCCTGCAGTGGGTGAGGGGCTCCCGCCCCCAAGACAAGGGAGACGGGCCTGCAGCCACCGGGCACATGGCGCAGAATCATTCCCAAGGGAAGGAGACCTGCACCTGCAACTGCCCCAAATGGTTCTCCATGGTCTGGGCCTCTGCTCTCCCTGCCGGCCTCGCCCCGCTGCCTCTCAGGCCCCTGCCCCCCAAAGCTGGCTCTGCGGCCCCAGCCCTGCCCCAAAGACACTTTGGGGGCTGAGCCAGCCCCTGCATGCGAGGGGGTATGGCCTCCTGGCCAGGCGTGCTGGGGGCCTGCAGGGACCCACCCCGGCCCCCTTGCTGCCTCCCCAAGAAGAGGAGGTCGGGGAGGAAGTGGAGGATCACGGTTCTGTCTGCGTCTCCGAAACATGAATCTGGTGCCTCCTGCTTCTCCGTGTTGCTCTGGCCCAAGCCTGCCTGCTCGTGGGGTCCCTGGGTCCTGAAGGGAGCGGGTGTGCAGACCATCCCCTGTCCGATGGGGCCGCGGAGGCCCGGGGCTCCCAAGGAGAAAAGCTGAGAAGGGAAGTAACTGACGGGGGGGTCACACCCGGGACGTGGGCCTGCCCTCCCATGGGGACCGTCCTGGTGCTGAGTGGGAGCTGGGCTGCCAGGGGTTCCCCTTCTCCTGCTGTCCCTGTCGGCACCTGGGCTCTCCCACCGCAAGATGGGGATGAGTCCCCGGGTGGTGCCGGAGTAGGGGGGGCGCAGTGAGATCGGGACCTGGCTGTGCCCGGGGCTCCGCACGGATGCCTCAGGGCGACGATTGGCGCGTCGCTACCTCTGATCACACGACACTTGGGTTTGCTCGTCAGCACAGGACGGTGGGTTTGTCGGCAAGAAAACAGACCATGAACCAGGTGGAGAAGGTGCACTAGGAGCTGGGGGGCGGGGCACCTGTCCCGGCCTCTGCACCTGGCGTCCCTGCCAGGGGCCGGAAGATCTGCCGCTCACCGGTGGCCTGTGTGCTTCAGTTTCCTCCCATGACCCTGGGTCGGTGATGGCCTCACCTAGGTGCTCTGAGGAGTCACCTGGCTCAGCGCACATGACTGGACATGTGACAGGTACCCGCTGGCAGACTTGTCCCCAGGGCCCTGGGGCTCTGCTCCTCCCCCTCCCAGTGACCTGTGGCCAGCCTACCTGCCTTCCCCACGGTCCGGCCTTGGGGTGTGGGGTGTGGGGACAGGGGCGGGGTGCTGAGGTCCCCGTGGGAAGGTGCGGGCCACCCCCCCGGGTTTGGGACTGAGTCCGGAGGGGCTTCTTCCTGGAGCAGCGGGAGCCTCCCCGCCGGCCTGAGGCCTGAAGCTTGAGGCCTGAGGCCTGAGGCGGCGGGTGCAGGGGTGCAGCCGTGGCCCGGCCCGCGGGGCTGCAAAGGGTTAAGGGGTGTGCGGCCCGGCGGGAGTGCAGCGGTGGGGCCTGCAGCGGGCAGAGCAGCCGGGCTGGTGCAGGGCCAAGAGCCCAGCGAAGGCGCTGCATTTTAATGAATCATTATTGCCGGGGAGGCCTTTGTCTTTCTTTATCCGGTGCACAATAAAAGAATTAATTAGACAGAAAATGGCAGGGCAAGGAACTGACAAGTCATTAAGGGCTGCTGAATGACCGATGAGATGCGCGCCGCGGTGGATTTCGGCTCCGGAATGATAATGGCCAGGCCGGGTGCTTTGTATGCGCGGCCAGCCAGCCTCTGTGCAGGCTTTGTGGGCGCTGGCATTGCGGCCGGGCGGGCCTGGCCGGATCCCCAGAGGCAAAGCGGGCAGTGGGAACCACAGACAGAACGGGTGTATTAATTTTCATGTGCAGACACAGCAGTAAATATTTGGATGCGAAGGGACTCTGGGATGGGTGCTCTGGCCCCTGGACGCTACTTCCTGGCCTGGGGTGAGGTGCGGGGGACGGAGGCTGGCACAGCGGTGCTCCCCCCACTGTGAGACAAGACATGCCGAAGGCAGGGGTGGAGGGTGGAGAGGAAAGAGGGGGAGACCCAGAAGCTCTTCCCGGAGCCCGGCTCTGCCACCCTTCGCTGCTGTCATGGTTATTCAGACGTCACGGGGAAAAAGTGCCACCCACAGATCCGGCTCTCCCACCCAGAAAAATTGAGCTCCTTGGGGGGCTGGGAGGGCAAGAGTGGAGAGTCTGTGAAGTGGGAGTTCATCGGGGGTCCCACTGCCCACGGCTCCTGACCCTGTGACCTGCAGCCCTGGGGGGGGTGTCAAAAACTGGCCGAATCTTCCCCCTGGTTTCCTGCAGCTTTGCAGCACATCCGATGCCCCCGTGGCTGTGGCCTGTGGTAGAGGTCTCCCCTGCCCCAGGGGTGACGAGGACATCGGGGAGAAAGCAATGTTGGTCAGGCAGTCAACAGCCCTTCCCTGGCTGGACGTCAGGGGACAGAGGTACGGCTGGACAGCTGCCGAGCCTCAGCACGTCTCTGCGGGCCGTGCCCTCTCCTTTGGCCGTTGTGACATTCTGCAGGGAGCAGATGGGGATGGCGTGAGGCTGCGCCCCAGGGCGGTTCCCGGGCCGCTGAGACCAGAGGACGGCCTGTCCCACGGACCGAGGACGAGTGCTGGCTGCTGCT